TGGACGCTGTTTGACCGCTAATTTGTATTTTTGTTCTTAATTCCCTCCGCTTGAGTTTTGCCTGCTTCTCTTCATGATGAGTACATGCAACAACAATTCAATTGGGTTCCGTCCATAGCGACAAAACACTGCGCAAATTGGTTATGCTATCGTTTCATCATCGAAACACCATTATTTCATCCTCAAAAAAAAAACGCGTTCGGCCATTTGGCAGATTTCAGCACACTGTGTGTATGTCCTGTATGTGTGGCTTGTTCTGTGCACATCTTGCGCGCACAAACACACATACACAGAGAGACAGAGAGGGAGAGACACTCATGCACACAGCCATATGGGCATGTCGACACAATCGAGCATAGTGGCCGTTGAATTTAATGGAATTTTTGACACGAGACACAACATACCAAATCCCATCTCAATTTGCAATTTTCAAATGGCATCTCGTTCGAGAAAATTGAACAAACTATTGTTTCGGTTCGAAAAAGAAATAGAAATAACCGCAATTGTAGCGTACCAACAGCAGCAGCCAACAGCGAACAGAGACACGCAACGTGGAAATGAGACAGAAAGCCATTTCATTTCTTATGCGAAATATATTATGTATGTATCATTGCGAGTGTATTTGTGCACATTATATGTTCCGAATCGATTTAACCGAATGACTCTTGTTGTGTGTTTGTATGTGGCTTTGCCGAATATGCTAGAATATTGCGCGACTCGCAAAGCCATCGAATGTTGAACTCTCTCTTTCTCCTTGTTGCCTGTCAGTTGAAAGAGACGCTTTACGCTTATATTTTTTTACCCATGTATTTTTTCGAATCCGAGAGACTCGCAAACGGCGCAAGCATGTATGAGTGCTAGACGGTTCAATGTGAGACGAGGCACACAAATACATACAGAGAAATAAAGAGACACACTCGTATCGATGTGAACCGATATACAATAGCATACGCTTTTGAAGCGTATTTGCAAAACTCGCATGTGCACGATGACGTTCTTTCTTTTTATCTTTGGTTAAAACTTGGCATGGTGTTTCTCTTTCTCTGTTCGCCAATTTGCACCCATGTGTGAGTGTGGTATGATGTCGGTGTGCGTGTTTATTCGCATAATATTCGATACGAGCAAAAGCATTGGTATAAAGGTGATATTGGCGAACCACTAGATTGAATCACTATTCCTGAACTTCAAAGCTAATGGCCAATGTAGTGGTGAACCGAAGAGCAATTTCAATTGAATTGCATGGCTGTGTGTGTCAGGCGATAGCATTTGTATGTGACATGGTGAAATAAATGCAGAGAAAAAAAAACGAACGACTTGGAATTTCTCGAACACCAAATGCCGCGAACGTGATAAAAACACACATTGAAAGCACACGATTTTATGCGATCTTTGAATCATCATTCGACACATCGCCATGTCACGCCTTTTTTTCTGTGCTCCTGACTGAGTATATTTCACCATTTCGGAACAGATTTCCGCACGGTTTTTTTTCCCTCTCTGAAGTGTAAAAATTATGCGACGAGAGAAAGGGTTTGATACGGCATTTTAATTGTTGATTTGGGACGGTGACTCCACTGAATCATTCGAATGAAATAAAAATATATTTGAATAGCAAATGTTCACATGGCACCACAATTGAATGACATTTACATGTATAATACCAATGGAAGAAAGACACACAAGAGGAGTAGCAATGAGAGAAAAAAAATGCCGAAGCGAATTTCAATGTGCGCTTTTCAAACAAGTGCACGAGAGACGGTAGCACTTTTATCAATGAATTTTCATGAACCGGTTTTATTTGACTGTCAGCCGATTACAATTGATTTTTTTTTTGCTTTGAGCGCAATTTTGTTAACGACATTTGTCAATGTTTCTGGGTGCGTGGTGCAGCCGGCATATGCGGCGAAGAGTTTTTTTTGTCATTTTTTCTATTCCGTTTCCATAAATCGCAAGATGATTTAGTATTTAGCCCGAAATATTGATGGTTTTTTCATATGACTAAGCAATGGAATAATACATGGTCGTTTGTCGTGCACACATGTGTGACGTAGGCGTTCGGCTACGCTTTTTATTCCGCTTAGTCGCTGCAATTGGATTTATAGTAGTGGTAAAAATAGAAAATGTCCGAAAGCAAGAGAACAACAACAATGGGGAAAAAAACATACGTCTCAAACTGAACGGCCGCGATCGAACTGTGAATATCAGATTATATTTCATTTAACCTTGTTCGGCAAATATATCAATCTAAATCATTATTAACAGCCAAATAATGTCAATGCGAGATATGGACGATAATTGTGCTTGACAAAGCCATTCTCACGTAGCATCAACAATATCTCGATATATCCATCTAATACGCAAACAACAATGTAACTATTATTCGGTGCTGTTGTTCACAGGATTGTTCTAGCGAATTGTTTTATTTTTTCTCGCTTACTCATCAAACAAATATTTAAACAAATAATGTTGACGACAGGGGAAATAATATGGTCGCTGTATGACTGTATGCGTATGCATTGCGCAGTAGAGAACATTCATAAAACAACCGATCTGCCGCTTGAATAGCAGCAGCAACAACAACAATTACGATAACACAACAAAAAAATATTGTAACAATATTTATGGCAAATAATTTGACGATAAAAGGAGTGAGATAGAGCGAGCGAGTGAATGAGAGCCAGCCATCTGCAGGGAAAAAAAAGCGAACAAAAAAAAATGAAACGTGTAAACGTAATGTGCAAAAGATATTAAGCTAAAATGTAAAAATCGAAGTAATTTTTCATGTCGAATACTTGATATTTGCCATCGGCAACGACGCACCGCATTTTAACCATGGCTCTTCGCTCAGCAACAATCGGTGGTGCTCAACGTCGGCTCCAACAGCAATAGCGTGTGAGTGTGTTTGTGTACACACAACACACAGGAAGATGCTTTGTGATGCGAATGTAATTCAATTTATTCGCCAAAAAAAGGAAAATAATTGAATCTACAATGCATGTATATGACAAGAGAGCACACAGAATTTATGCGATGGAAAAGCGAAAATGCTATTTCCTTGCTGTTGTGCTGCTCGTCGATGAATTCTATCGGCGGGTGGATGTACATTAGAAGTGGTGTTTGGCTAAATGCGGATGGACTCAATAAAAGGACTTTTTTAATGGATCAAACGACAAAGGTAAAATTGTTGATAGAGAGACCACATAGCGGCCACTTAATCCGCTTCAAATCACAAAAGGTATGACGATGATGGCGACAACGGACACAGAGAGCGGGAAAAAATGAATAACCATTTGAATTATGCTTTTTGTTTGGACATGATTGTTTTTCGTGGCATTTTTAATCCATCCACTGTGGAGCTGTGTGGACAGATTCACTTATTTTTCTTCTCTCTGTTCTCTTATTGTTGTGTACTCATTGTTTGATTGTCAATGTTGATAGATTCTCGAATTGTGAGGAATGAATCCAAGGAGACGTTGAACGACCACGGGCGTTCTTTTTCTCTCTTCTTCTCTCTTCTTCATACACACAGACCCGTGTACATTTCACGTGAATTCGAACGTCGGTTGGAAAAAAAATGGCAGCAAAGAGCATGTATGCATATATACAAATATATATATAGATAAAAGCGTATGTATGGCGCATCGATCGTCTACATGTTACATTCATTCCGTGTTCTTTTTGGCGTAAGCGGCGATGCCATCCAACTTCAACTAATACGCTCACACAAATCAACGCACACAATGCCATACGCCTTAAAGCAATTCATAGCGACGGTGCTTTTTCCTTCCTTTTTTGTTCTTCCTTTCTCTTGGTTTATCTCTGTCTCTTTCGCATACTATGAATTCCAAGTTTTTCCATTGATTTCATACGACATGATACATGTGAAGTGTTTTCTGTGTGTCGTTTCTTTGGAAATATCAAAAATTCATTATGAATATTTTCAGAATGTGTTAAATAGTTCCGTTTTTTCGTTCAAATTCGCATAAAACGTCAATGATTCAACGCAGTAGATGTATGTGGAATGATGATGCATGTATGGGTTTGCTTCATTTTTTGTGTGTGACTTGTTAGTCGGTTTCTACGTCTGCGAAATCAATTGAAAAATTGACGATGAAGAATTAAACAATTGACTGTTTTTTGACACGGCGAAAAAAATCGAAATCAATTGTTTAAAACTTGATTTAAATACAAAATTCGAATGCCAAACATTTCTCGTCAGAAAATGTCGAGGCGAAAAGAAAATTCTCGCCTTTTTTTCCCCCCATTGAAAATTAGCACTTATTCTCCAGACGGCAACAACAGAGCCGTCGTCGGCTGTGATTGTAGTTGTGTATGCGTATGCGTATGTGTTTGTGTGTGTGGAACGGAGAGAAGTCGAAAGAAGCAAATACAGAGAAAACTGATATGTGTGTATATACGAACAGTAAAAAAAAATTGTACAGCACCGCCGCCATTTACAACCATTTTAGCATCATTCCAATCGTACGTTATTCGTTAACATTTTATTTCGTCGCATTTTTAATTTCAAAAATTCGTTTCGTTTGTCACACTCACACTATGAACATTTTCTACGAATTATGCACAACAATAGCAAGCAAGTCCAAAAATTGGTATGGGCAAAAAAATTTAGCGGCTTTTTTTTCTTTCATTGTCACAAGGAAAAAAAAAGAGTATTGTATGGAAAAACCAAAAATCACCATTTACGTATTTATAGGAACTATGAATTTTTTTTGTGTGTTGTTGTTGCTGCTGCTAAAGAATGTATATTTCTTTCTTTTGTCGAAGACATTTTGATTTTCATCTTTTTTTTTCTTTTTTTTTTTGAATTGTAGGGAACGAAGCGCGAACAAAAATTGTTCCCATGGTTGCGTTTGCATCATTCGACGCATATAATACATACGTATGAAACCAACAGAAAAAAAATTAATTTTTCGCTTGTTTGATCTTTCAACGCGATTTTCCCGAAAACTACACGAAATTCCCAAAAAATATCAACTCACCATCGTAACGTTCAGCTTGTTCAGCCAATTTAGCTTTGTAAACATTATTTTCACGTTCCGACATCGTTGATGTTTTTCGATTTTAAAAAATTTGTAACCACGAAAAAATTATCCAGACAACGGGCACAGCACACAATCTATTCTCTTAACACAACAGCGATGAATACCGAATTGAAAATTGCTTTGAAATATCGTTACTCACTGAGAAGAACACACAGAATGCGCGAGAGAGCGATTTGAATGGTCGACGACTGTATTTTACACTGTTCCAAAGTTTGTATCTCGTATTACTCACACTGAGCTTCGTGTGTGCTCGCTCTCTCTCTCTCTCCGTCCCTGTCTCTCTTTCCCTCCTGTTCATATACACACCGAGACACACGCAATCTCGTGATGGCTTCTCGCTCGTTCGATGAGCGCGCGTGATACGCCTGTGTGAGTGTCAGAGTGCCAAATACACACGCACTCACACACACGCCTTTCGGGCGATGATTCACAGCCTAGCGCTCTCTCTGTCGTTGTGATATGGCTTTTCGGTAAAATCAATATGAACGTTTGTCACGTTCTTTGCTCAGCAACACAGACCGTTGGATCGAACTGTTCTATCCACATTTTTCTCTTTTATTTTGCGCATATACGTTTTCAAATCCATGCGGTGGGCATGTGTTAGTGTCTAGCATATTACTCTTTCGATACTCATTTCTTACCTTTTTGATACTAGAATTGGGCGCGCGCATGCTTTTACTCTTGACAATTTGCATCGGACAAGAATTTCGTTTCGCCTTTATTTCCCACATTTTTCTTGAACGCGCGTCCAAGTGAAGTATGCACGACAGAAAAAGTTCGTTCAAGTTGGTTTGAATTTGACACAGCATTCCCTATCGGAAAACCGGTCATCGAGGTGAATGACTGTTTGCGAATGAACAACATTCCAACATTCTCTTTGAAAGCAGAAAAAAAATATGAATAAGAAGAAATGCCAGAATAGATTCTTACAAAAGAAAAAACGCTTATCGTGTTTATTTCAGATGTTGATAATCTTGATACAACTGTAGTAAAAATATGGTTTCATCCATACCAATTTCGGCATACATCAAATTTTTGCAGCGAGTATTTATGTTTTCCAGTAAATCTTTTTCGGGCGGTGTCATTGTCTCATAAATTTCCTGTATGTATTCTTCGGATTCACCGCGCTCTTTCATGGCTTGCACGATCATTTCGAGCCGTTGGGCTTTTTCAATGAGTCGTCTACCTTCCGTTTTGATATAATCAGTTCGAGTCAAACAGTTGAAAAGTGCCTTATAACAATGTTCCAACAGCATCGACACAATCTGCGGTTGATCAACATGGAACAAACAGAATGACTTGGCAGCTCCTCCTCCACCCGCTCCCGACTTTCGAATCGTTTTGATCTGGAAGAAATTCTCTTCGACCAGCTTATAGGTGAACAATTTCGCTTCTTTGGATGGAATCATCGCCTCTTTTTGGATATCGTCTTGATCACAGTATCGCTGCGAGCGAACGATGCGAAATATACGAGCCGCTTTCTTGCCAAAACGTTCGTCAATAACATTTTCAATGCACGACCAAGTCAACTGTTCAATGGCATGTTTCATCTGAATCACATACTGACCACCACCGGCTTCGCCGAATTTTCCAACAAATTTCAAATTATCCTCACAAATGACGGCTATGTATTGATCCAATTGTTTCGCAAGTTTGGCGTTTAGTTTCCATTTGGGTGACTTTTCGATTGTGTGCCGTATTTCAGAGTATGAAACGGGATTGGTAACGGCTTGCCAGGCGGCCGTTCGTGCATACATCAATTCGAGCATGCAGCAAAAACATTCGGCTGCCGTTGAGTCAATGCTTCGTTCGACTGCTCCAACCATAACCGAGTCTCGGAATTCCTGATGCAATCGATCAATATTCACGAACCAATAGACCTCTTTATCGCTGGGTTCGACCGCTTCTCGGTTTTTCAATCGGATCAAAGTGGCCACATCGATTTCTGGCTCCATGAAGAAACTGTGCTCATCAATATTGAATTCAGGCACAAAATTGGGTTCATTGCCTTTCACCAAGGCCGGTGCTCGCATCACATAATTCTTTTGCACCAAATTCAAAAATTCCCTACGCAATTCGCAGAGTTTATCTCGTCCGACGTCTGTCTCAGTGCATTTTATTATCAAATTGGTGGCAATGTCACTGCCCACACGTTGCAATTCGTTGATCAACAACCCAGCCAATTCACCACATTTCTCTCGAATATACTGCACATACTTGGCATAACGCACAAGCAAATAGACTTTATCCGCTTTAATCGAATATTCCACAAAATTTCCACTGGAGCCTGGTCCAAATTTGACCAATCGGAATCGGATGAGAGATGCCAATGCAGCAGATACTTCGTTTTTGGTTAAACCGGTGGCTTTGACAATTGTTGATAACGGCCGGGATTGAACAGCGGAAAACAAACAATCACCAACTATTTGAGCGTTCACACCGAAATGTTCGCGCAATAAAATCGAATTTAATTTCCCCAGAATGATTGACATCGTGTTATTGTGATCGAAGAATTGGACACTCAATTCAATGCGAGCGGCTTTCAAATGTCAACAAATATGATCTGTCACATCTTTGAACGAGCAATCCCTATCGGAAGAGGTTTTCGTTCGTTATTTATTGACAAAATAACAATTATTTCTTTTTAAACTGTGTCTAGATCGATTCGAATTAGGTTTTTTTTTAAATGGAAATATAAAATAAATGTTCGAACCCTTTTAAGATTCAAACGCTTTTTTGACATCGCTCTTTCCAAACACAACATGAAAAGGTCATCCTTGTTTATATGTCGGATATGTTATATAGTCTTAACTATTCAAATGTGTTAATTTATCGTGTAATGTGTGTCTGTGTATTCTCATGTTCGCTCTTATAAATAGTATGGTTGATAAATGCAATTTCAAAGATGAAAACAAGACAAAATACAAAATTTGTTCCGCATTATTGAAGTTACAATTCTCTTAGACCCCGGCCAATATGTCTAAACGTATTATAATTACAGTTTTACATGAAATATTGAAGAAGGTACTCTATCAAAATACATATGTTCAATTTTTCCAAACAATGAAGCAAAGATGATGAGTCCTCATAATAAAAATCATATCGTGTAAGTGGAGCAACAGCAAATATTTCATAATTTCTTTATATTTGGCAGGAATTATCGAAGAAAAATTCAGTGCGATGATGAAATTCACGGATTTATTTTTAGATTGTCTCGAAACAAATTTCGTGTATTTGGAACTCGCTGATGTTCTGAATCTGGCGGACTCAAACGTAAGACTGAGGAAAGCGGCTAATTTTGTTTTCGTTCGAAAGCATCAACACAAGATAATGCTCGTCCAAGATATAAACATCTCACCAAATCGATTAATTGCAATCGAAGAGGAACACATCGAAATCAACGATTTAAAATCATGTCTTTAGCTTTTGCGTTGTTTTGGTGGACTTATTAAGGCAATACAATTTCGCTTTAGTACATTGGGCAAGCGATACAATTTCCCCGAATTGGATTATCACGTTTTGAGATACAATATATACAGGAATATTGTACTGATTCGTTATTCAAAATTATTTTTATGGGAAGTCGAGAAGGTACCTTAAAAATTTTGACGAAACTATTCACACGAGTTGAAAAGGTTTTATTCAGTAAATGTTATATGAACGTTGATGAAGATTGGATCAATCGACTTTTTCCAAAAGTGAAAAAATTGAAAATTAACTTTAAATACGGCATAATTTGCCACCTTTGGTCATGGAATGCGTTTTTAGCACATCATTTTCCGCACTTAGGGCACTTTGAAATTTACATGCATTCAAAGAATAGCGGTATAGAAAATTATGCCACAATGTTTCATTTGAATCCACAATTGAAAATATTTCGAGTTGCTATGCCATCTCTTAAACCACAGTTGAATGCAATTTTTTTCCAAAATTCCCAAGAAAACTTTCAAAACCTTGAAATTCTAAGAATTTGGGCCGAACACCATTTCTTTGATGATTACAATAACGATAAATTGTCCTTTGCAAACGTAAAACATTTCGATATTGATATGACTTCCTTGCGTTGTCAAGAGCTTCGAACAGTTATATTACCATTTCTATTTAAAAAAAACTTGAGTCATTTTCTATCCATTATCCGAACGACCTGTTGAATGGACATTTCTATAATTTCATCGACAAACATCCCACAATCGAAAAAATTAAAATAACAAATGGTTGTATATATGAATCTAGAGAACATTTACGTTTAAGCAAAGTGTTGGTTCCAAGACTTGAAAAATCGTTGCCGTCACTCATTGAAATTGAATTTCGACTGTACAAATGATTATGAAAAAAAAATGAAAATTATCAAATGATCAAGTTATTAGGAGTCTCATAGGAAAATTCAAATCACTGAAAATACTTCATTTTGATGCTCTTGTTGAATCGGAAGAAGATTTGCAAAACCATCTGGATAATACCATTTCATTGACAAAGACAAAAAAGCCCATGCGATTTAAAATTGAAAGACGAGTATGAGAAATAAAATCAAATATGTTCAAATTATTGGCATTTTACTTAAATCAAATATGAAAAACATTAAAATAATGTGGAGAAAATTATCTACAACTATATTTACGATTACTTTATTGACAACACAAAATGTTATTTATTTAATGTTAAAGTTATTGTATCAATAAATATATTTGAAAATAAAAAGCATATGGAAGAGAAGAAAGTTGAATGAAAGCGGCCGTCTCCATTTAGCTATATATTTTAGCTACAATAAATGTTTTTGTTCCAAGGAATTTCAAGATGTTGCGAATGTGTTTGTAGCTGATTATCAGTTGACTGAGAAATATAGCTATTTGATTTTCTTTCAACACATTCACTCACGTATACAGATCGATAAAACGGAATCTTTGTGTTGGGGCTCGCTCCAATTATGATTCTTGTGATATACCGCAATTTTATAATATTCGACACAAACACACACACATAATTGAAGAGCTGTTTGCCAGACGATCGTCTCGTCGCATTTGATCATCTCGGTGTAGTGGTGACTCTTTGCATCAATGCAAATCGATTGAACGTATACGATAAACGCATTATATGAGTCATTCCTTTGCACAATCTATTCAAAAAGACAAAATATTCTGCGCCTAATGCCGCTTCGATTGCGAATCAAAATTACCGTTTTAGAATTGTCTGAAGTAAATACAAAAAAAAATATTGAGCCTAATTTGTTGTGAAATCGCATAGCCTTGTGAAAATGGATTTACCAAAGGTACAGAGTAAACCAAAGGCACCAAAACGTAGCATCCAGCAAGAAAATGCTGATGAACCGGCAAAAAAGCAATCGAAGAAAGAGCCGAAGGATATTCTGACACTGAACGATCATTGCCTGTTGGAAATCTTTAAATACTTGCCGTTGAATGATGTCTGCTCACTCAGTCAAACATGTCGGCGAATGCACGCATTGGGTTCAAGTCATTTCATGCTCAACCACAAAGCAAAAGTCATGGTTTTCATCGATTGGTTGTATGGCAATCTGTTTACGTTTCCGCGTGTGAATCAAGAGAAGTACATTGAATGCTTTGCAAAAAGCATGCGGAGCGTCACACTCTTGAGACATTTCTCGACAATCGCAGCCATGGAACAGCTGAACAAGTTCTACCAAGGTGAAACCAAAGCCGAAGCCGCTTCACCGATTGAAGCCATTCGATTTGTCGATTGGACAGTGGATGTGAGCAAGGCCCATTGCGACCCGATTGCTGCCATTTTGAAAAACGTCAAGTCAGTAACATTCGAAAACACTTCGATCAATGCCGATTTGGACGGGTGCCTGTTTGGATTCATGCCCAACTTGAAACAATTGACGGTGTTGGATTCTGATGACGACGAATCAGAAGCGATTTCGTCAAACTCGATTTGGATGCAACCAGCATGTCCAACGCTTGAATACTTTGCGTGGCACAAAGCGCCGAATTGCCACGACCAAAAAAATGAATTTCCAGCAAATGAAATGGTACGTTTTCTCAAGATGAATCCAGGCATTAAGTTTGTGTCGTTGCGATTGGATACGGTAGACCAATTCAAAAGTTTGATGAAAACTGGCATTCAAATCAACGAATTGTTCTTGACGAACTTTTATGATCGCGAAAATGAAATTGCCGAAGCAGTTAAGGATTTGAAGGATTTTTGCGAGAAAATGAACAACGATGATCAATCATTTCACCTTCATCTCCAGGTCCATGGACATGACTTTGAAGAGCAACCTGATCAACTGGAATTGCTTGCACCACCCATCGTGGGCCTGTACTTCGTCGGTTACATTCCAACCAATTTTGATGCCATTTTCCCCAAGCTCAGCAATTTAAAAGTGTTGCAAGCAAGGGAATATATTCCTGCTGAATTACTATGCCATTTACCGAATTTAGAAGAGATATTCGTCTCTTGTTCGGCAAGACCACTGTCTTATTATGACGGCGCAATCCAAATTTTGGGCACTCAATTGGCAAAATTAAACAAATTATATATGAACAGCTACTTGTATTGTAGTTCGAACAACGCCATGGCTTATGGTGATCTGGATGATGTTACCCATAACAGTCCCCAGACTGAAAGGGAAAGCTTTTCAATCTTTGGTACAATTGATACTGAACGGAAGAAGTTGGCTGGTGCCCAGAAGTTGAAGGTGTATTTGGAAGTGGAAGAAAATCTGCGTAAGCAGAAAGATTTTTTCATTACTTTCATAACGTTTCATTATTTATATTTCGTTCCATTTCTTCTTTTGTGGTTAAGGTGACAAGAAAGTCGACTACGATACGGTGGAAGTTCTGCGCACACAAACCGAAGCCATCACCAATCCATTATTCCGACAGTCACGTCTTATCGATGAATTGGCTGCACCGGATCGATGTGTACTCGTGTGAGCAATCACCAATTCATACTCGAACAGTCACACATCTTGTTGCTGTTGTAGCCGTGCCAAATAATCTTTGTGTTTAAAGGTACCACATATTGAACGACCTTAAGTTTATTGAATACATTGAACAAGTGGCTAAAAGCCTTTACTACATCAAAATTACATTCACAATTGTGAAAAATGTCTCTAAATATAACTCAATAAAAATTCCAAACTTATTTCCATACAATTTAGTTTCTTTTATTGGTTATACTTTTGCGCTGACTTTTGTTTCAATCAAAAATTTGATGAAAAAAAAAACTTGATTTGTTTTGAGTCAAAACTTTTGACGCATAGGATCAACGCAACGGCTAAAGCGCAACCGAAGCGATTTTCTCAAATCAGTAAATGTTTTTATTCCAAGGAATTTCAAGATATTGCGAATGTGTTTGTAACCACAATACAATCAGTTGTTTGAATAATATAGCCGGTTAGCTTCTACTCTTTCTTTCAACATATTCAGTCACTTATATATAGATCGGAACAATCATATGTGTTTGTGTCGAACACTGCTGCTTGCCAGACCATCGTCTCGTCGCATTCTATCATCTCGGTGTAGTGGTGACTTTTTGCATCAATGCAAATCGGTTGAATGTATACGATTGACGCAACATAAGCGCGATTCCCTTAGTTTGTGGGTCGAGTGAATCATTCCTTTGCATAAGCTGTTTGAAAAGACGCCATTTTCTTTGTTTCATTCCGCTTCAATTGCGCATCAAAATTAACGTTTTTCGAATTTTCTGAAGTAAGTACAAAAAGTATTGAGCTTAATTATAGTTTTTCTCTTTTGGCAGACATAAAATATTGCTTCGGCATATGAAAAATTTGATGAAAACAGTAAATTAATCGTAATTGTATTTTGTGTTGATTGTAGTTCATCATTTTGCACATTGTTGTGAAATCGCGAAAACCAGTCCAAAATGGTCAAACCAAAGGCAAAGAAGGGTAAATCGAAGGCAGCAAAACATGCCACCCAGCGCAATGCAGATAAGGCACATGAACCAGAAAACAAGCAGTCGATGAAACAGTCCACCGATTTTCTCGCCCTGAGTGATCATTGCCTGTTGGAAATCTTCAAATACTTGCCGTTGAATGATGTCTGCTCACTCAGTCAAACATGTCGGCGCATGCACGCATTGGGCTCAAGTCATTTCATGCTCAACCACAAAGCAAAAGTCATGGTTTTCGTCGATTGGTTGTATGGCAATCTGTTTACGTTTCCGCGTGTGAATCAAGAGAAGTACATTGAATGCTTTGCAAAAAGCATGCGGAGCGTCACACTCTTGAGACATTTCTCGACAATCGCAGCCATGGAACAGCTGAACGAGTTCTACCAAAAAGAAACCAAAGCCGAAGCCGAAGCAGAAGCCGAAACCGCTCCACCGATTGTAGTGGGCTTGGTAACCGCTTTAATGAAAAAAGTGAACAGTTTCTACCAACGTGAAACCGAAGCCGAAGTTGCTTCACCGATTGAAGCCATTCGATTTGCCTTTTGGAAAGTGGCTGTGAGCAAGGCCCATTGCAACCCGATTGCTGCCATTTTGAAAAACGTCAAGTCAGTAACATTCGAAAACACTTCAATCAACGCTGATTTGGACGGGTGCCTGTTTGGATTCATGCCTAACTTGAAACGATTGACGGTACTAGATTTTACTGTCAAAGATCCTGGATCAGTAAAGGTTTCGTACAACTCAATTTGGATGCAACCACCATGTCCAACGCTTGAATACTTTGCGTGGCACACGGCGCCAAAAATGCACGAACACGAGAATGATTTTTCAGTAACTGAAATGGTACGTTTTCTCAAGATGAATCCGGGTATAAAGTTTGTTTCGTTGCGATTGGAGTCGCAAAGTCAGCTCACCATTTTGACAACAACTGGCATTCAAGTCAATGAATTGTTTTTTACAATTATTTATCGGAGCTTTGCTGAGTGGGAAGCTGAAATTGCCGAAATTGTGAAGGATTTGAAGGATTTCTGCGAGAAGCAAGTATCAATGAAGGTTGTGAACGATGATCAACGAATTCGCCTGCATTTGAAGATTTGTGGAAATGACTTTGAAAAACAACCTGGTCAACTGGAATTACTTGCACCATACATTGTGGGTTTATACTTCGAAGACTACATTCAGGACTGTTTTGCTGCCGTTTTTCCCAAACTCATCAACTTGAAAGTGTTGCAAGCAAAAGAAATTGTTCCAGCCGAATTGTTGTGCCGTTTACCGAATTTGGAAGAGGTTTTCGTCTCTTGTTCAGCAAGACCACTGTCGTATTATGACGACGCAATCCGTATTCTGGGCAGCCGATTGCCAAAATTGAAAAAACTGTACTTGAACGGCTATTCGCATCGAAGTGTAAGAAACTTATTGTTTTCTGGAGGGGACATGATGGAACAAAAAGAAGACTTCAAAGTCTTTGCTACGATTGATACCAAACGAAAGAAGCTGACTGGTGCCCAGAAGATGAAGGTTTTTTTGGAAGTGGAACAAAATCTGCGTAAGAAAACAGATTTCATTCTTTACTTTCATCACGTTTTATCATTTATGATTCGTTTCATTTCTTCTTTTGTGGTTCAGGTGACGAGAAAGTCGACTACGATACGGTGGAAGTTCTGCGCACACAAACCGAAGCCATCACCAATCCATTCTTCGAACAGTCACATCTTGTTGATTCTGTAGCCGCTCCGGATCCATGTGTCATCATGTGAACCATTATCAATCCGAATCGAAGCAATTACACATCTTGTCGCTGCTAAAGCCGCTCTAGATAATCTTTGTACCAAAAGGTACCATATTTTGAACGAACTTCAGATTATTGAATCCTTTATTAAGTGGCAAAAAGCCTTTACCAAATTGCATTCATGAATGTGAAAAAAAATACCTTTGAAAGTGACTCAATAAAATTTCCAAACCAATTTCCATACTATTTCGTTTCTTTTTTATTTTATTTCTGCTTATAATGATTAGAATTAAAATCAATTAAAATGTAAAATTTAGCTTTCCGAGTCCATTTTGTCGTTGTCCTGATCGCCATCGTAGAATTCATTTCGTGGTTCGACCGCACGATCTTCATCTGATTGGCTGATTCGAACATCTGGATCGGGCTCATCTTGTGTTCGTTCATCTTCTGGTGGTAGCGCATCCTCTGGGATATTGTACATTTGAACACTCGGCGCATGCTGACACATTTTCAAATTGTCGTAAACATATCGATTAATCATATCGAGATATTGTTTGCTGTTTGCATTCTCTTGTCGCGTTGGGATCTCGGGATGCAATGTGAAATCAGGTGCAAAGAATTCTAAATAGTCATTCATGGGGATTTCATTTGAAATTTGTTCGTCAACTAGCAATGATGTTTCGTATACCCAACAACGGGCCACATTTCTGGGTGTATAGCCGCCTCCACCAACAACAAGTGTTGGCACATTGAAATCCTTCACAAAATTCACACATTCACCGTGCCCTTTGCTGCTGAGCGAAAAGCAACCCAATCGATCGCCAGCCAACGAGTCAGCACCACATTGCAATACGATTGCGGTTGGCCGATAGAATTCCATTACGTTCGATATAACCGGCTTGAATACTTGATAGTAGCTCAAATCATCGATGCCCTCTTTCAACGGCACATTCACCGAATAGTAGCGTCCGGTTTCTGCGCCTATTTCATACATATCACCCGTACCTGGGAAAAACCAATTCCCGTATTTGTGAAACGATACTGTCATCACGCGATCCGTTAAATAAAATGCCTCTTGAACGCCGTCGCCATGGTGCACATCGATGTCAATGTACAATACACGTGGATGATATTTTAATAGCTCCAATATTCCGATGACAATGTCGTTTACATAACAGAAACCTGCCAAATGGAAAATTGGTTATTTGAATTGGTTCTATTTAAAGTTTTCGGATTGATATTTTCATTTCCATATTCTATGGCTTCGAATGATGCAATTGATTCATCACTTCGTACACCGACGTTTTTTTTCAATTAACATACCTGAAGCTTCGAATTTCTTTGCGTGATGCAATCCACCTGACCAATTGATACAAATGTCGCTGTGATCATGATTCAATTTTTGAGCACCTTCCAATGATGCGCCAGTATACTGAAAATAGAACAAATTTCGCGTTAATGATTTTACATAGCATGAGGTGTGCCGTGTGTTTTTTTGTTACCAAAGCGCAAAAGTCGAATAAACCATCGAATACGGGACAATCGTCACCAACGCTGAAATGTGACAGGTATTTCGTGTAACCAACCGCTTGAATATTTTGCGGTGTGACTCGTTGCAGGAATTCAACGTATTCTTCACTGTGGAATCGCAGCATATCCTGAGCGCTGGCTCTAAAATGGAAGAAAGAATGGAAAACACAATGAATAAATGATGTGACCTTTGAATAGAATATGCTTTCTTACTTGTATGGACGGTAGATTTTCATCTTTTTATGCAGGCCGTAGTTCATGACCAAGCTGTGAGTCATCTGTAAATGAAACAAATCAAGTATTTTGTTAGTAAACAACCAAAATTGATTTACAACGAAAAAATTTCATCAAGAAAATTTGTGCGACATTTTTCCGTCGCCAATTTCTCGCACTCATTTACATACCGACAGTCGATGCGGTTTCATGGGATGGCCGGGTCCATAGTGGAAGTTGCCCACATCCGGATGGTAAAAGTATGATACTTTCCGTGTCATTTGAACACCCAATTAATGCAAATGCCAACCAAAATCAAATCAAATCTATTCTAAGCTCTATTCTAATAGAAGCGTAGCTTTGTTTTACTCTTTCTTTTACAAATCGTCAATGAATAAAACACTATATTTCAACCAATAGATCAAACACAATACAAATACAATACATAAAAGTCGTTTGGTTAATGTAAAATCTAAGGGCATGCCGTGCTTGCACTGTTACGTGTTGCCTAGCAAACAATTAAATATCGATTACCGCTGCTGAATTTAGAACGCGAATCGCGTTTGAAAAAAGAAAAGTGGTCCAAAGAACCAAAAATTGTGTTTGGTCGGTGTTAGTCCGTAATATTGAACAATTTCATTGCACTGAACTCGGCATTGTAATTCCAAATCATGCCTTCATGCAAAAGCACTGTAAAAGTGTGCACTTCAAATAAAACCAATAGAAAAAAACTATGAAAAAAATACAATTTTGTCGTGTTAAACGTGCATTGAAGTTAAAGAATTCGGCGTTTGTAGAACACAATAATTCTGGCATTTAGTAGCGTCGACATGAACTGTCACATTTTGACAGTGGATGCGTTTCATGCGAATGAATGCGACCAGTGTCTAACCATTTGACAGAATCGTCAAAATTGCCGGCCACAAAACAACATAACAAAACGCAATTATATGTGAATGTTTTTCGGTCGAAAAAATGCTTGAAAAATTTCGTGGAACACTTTATGGAGTTTTAGTGGGCGATTGCTTCGGTGCATTGTTTCAAGAGAGCTCAATTTTATCGAAAGGTTCGCGTCTGGTGCTGCGTAAATTTCTTGATAACTTGGAAAATGGGACTGGTAGTGTGGGTAAATATTGCAATGAGAAAACTTATAATTGATTGAAATATATCAAAACAATTTGAGTGGTTTATTTTTAGGTCTTCGCAAATCGTACACAGACGACACGGCGCTCACTTTGGCCGTCGCACGAACAATAAATGCTTGTAAACAAATCGGTAAATTCGTATTTTTTTGGATTCAGCTAATTGAAGAAGCTATTAAAATGCGCATCTTTTTTCATTTTTAGATCAAAAAATCTTGGCCATTAATTTCGTAAATGAATTTTATAAGAATGTCTACCGAGGATTTGACGCTTCTTTGATTGATATATTCGCAAAACTCAAGCACACCAATTTCGAAGATGTTTTATTTCCGGCAAAAGAGACCTTGAACATTGACTCGGGTGGCAACAGCTGTGCCATGTACGTTGCACCAATTGCGTTAATCTGCACTAGAGACGAAACTCGAAATTTAAATGATCAAGTACAAAAAGCAACGACTTTGACTCACCTTCATGAAATGGCTGTGAATGGAGCGATTCTTCAAGCGAACGCTATAAATATCCTCGTTAAGGACGGCAAAAAGTTTAATATTGATCATTTTTTGGATGAAATCCTTGATTCAATGGAGACAAACTCTACATCGGGCGATGGACCTTCGTTCAGAGAACAATTGCATGGGGTCAAGAAGCTGCTGAATGTTACAAATCCATCAGAAGAAAGAGTGGTGAATGTTCTTGGTCATAGCTCGCAAGCGTTATACTCTGTACCGACGGCAATTTATTGCTTTTTACGCGGTGTAAAAAACCAAAGCGATGTAGGTTTAATCTTAATCTTACCTAGTTAGACCGAAAAAATCCACTTCACCAATTCTCTCGCATATTCCACAGACAAATCCATTTCGAGAAGCCATCGAGTACTCGATTACGCTGGGCGGACACGCAAATACAATCACAAGTATGACTGGTGCACTATGTGGTGCCTATTACGGAGACGCTGTCATATCCGAAAATATGCTGAAACAATGCGAAGGATTTAATGAAGTCAAAGCGATTAGTGAAGATTTGTACAAAGTTTTGTAAATTTGAAACAACCCATGTATAGTCAATATAGACTAGTCTTGTAGACTGAAAATGTTTATTAGAAAAAAAACCCATTAAAAATGACAATATAAATAAATTAAGGCGAAGCGTTTATGAATTGGTTCATAAGATTTTTATCGCGAATTGCAAAGGTGCACATTTTAAATGCTGACTTAGATCTCGTTGAATAAGTTTGCTTTTTTAGATCCATATATCCTCGATATATCGTCCACTTTTCACCAATTCGTCAACAATTAGTTTGGCATCATCGATTGCACTGCATTGGGCAGCCTTGACAAGGCTCTCTTCAACGGCGGTCCGTATGTCAGTGGACATTTTCTTGTTGCCACAAATAAATACTTTACTGGCTATTCCACCGGTGGCATCAGTTAACAGGTTGGAAATTTCGGTTGCTTCATTTCGAACACAGTCTTGAACGTATTTGGTTTTAGTATTGGCATCCCTTGAAAAACATTCACTAAGCTTGGAAAGTGTGCCGTCCTTAACAAATTCACTCAGTCGCTCGCCACATATTTGCTTGTTCTTGTATCGACATCCAAAGATAAGCCATGTGAATGATTTTTTTGTGTGTTTTCGCTTCCTTTGCTCCTGAATATGTTCCAAAAACCCAATGAATGGAGCCACTCCAGTTCCAATGGCTATCATAATCAATGGTCTCTCCAAATCTCCGTTGGTCAATTGGAAGTGATTACTTTGGCGAGTATAAGCGTTAACAAACTGGTCACGGGTGTCCAGCTTGAGTGTGAGTTCAACCTCATATTTGAATATCAATTGTTGTAACATGCGTGTCGTGATCCCCGGCGGATTATTCAATGAGAAAATAACCTTTAAAATAGTCGACTGTCCATCATAATCAATGGAGGATTCCGTGGTCAATGGACTGTTTGAAATGGAATATGGGCGCGGCATCAAACGTGGCAAGTGTTCAAGTAAAACGGCAACATTTTCAATTGTAAATGTCCAAGAATGAAGCCGATTAAGCAGCGCATAGAATGTGGTTTGTTGCTGAAAAATTTCCGTTGTGTACAAAGCTGAACCTTCTCGAGATGCCAAAATTGAAAGAAAACGTCGTTCGGTAGCGTCACTCAAGCAATTGTAATTGACTAGAGCCGATAGAAATCCTTTCTTTGGGAATGCATGGAAATCAACACACTCTTGGAACAATTTATATAGACTCGTTTGACAAGCCGGTAAGAAAATAGGCATCTTTGGCACTCTCTTCTGAGTCGCCGCTTCGGCAGATATTTTCAAATGGAGTGAATCATGGCATTTGGCTTTTAATTCAGAGCCTTTATCGATGATTACATTCACAACCTCATCCGAGTTTTGTGGCAATATTCCAATGGTGTCTCCAGGCGAGTAATCAATGACTTTGTTCTAAAATTCCGAAACAAAAGATAGTAAACACACCAATTTCGATTCAATTGCATTCAAATGAAAGCCATATCGCTGTGTGATACAAACCTTGATCTGCAGCGTGAGCTCATATACATTTTTAATCGATTCGTTAGCGTCATTGTTGATTAGTTGATGTACATCAATGAAATTGGCTGCAAAACACTCGGTACGAGCAAATGGTAAGGTTGTCCTGAATTGTGCGTGTTCTAGAGCCTTGCTTTCATACCTCTGTTAAATGGGAATTGCGCAAAATGTTTTTTTTTTAATAATAATGAATGAAAAGGTGAACTTGAAAAAATGAAGAAATGAACAACAAACAAATTAAAGTGCTTTCACCTCGCCATCAAAGACAATTTCGATGAAACGTGCGGCAGCCGGTGATGGTGTAAGTTTTTTATCATTGTATTCATCAATCCATTTGTATGTTTCACGTAAATTTGACATTTTATCAGAAGTTTTTAATTACGCTTAATTCATAAGTTTGTGTTTTTAATTTCACTAATGGATTAGCAGCAGCAAATCGAGCTCCCGACGGAATAATTAGGGATAACAGAAAAAAAACCGAAGAAAAAAAAATACGACAATAAATATTTTCTTTGTTTGCACACACCGTATACTATACACAATGACAGCTTTGACACATGTGGATGCGCAGACATATTTTGACATAACGATAACGCTTCGCCCGAACGGTGTACATGTGCTCGATACGATGGCATAACGTAACATGTAACATAACGCTAACACTTGTTGCTGTCAATAGACTAGACGAATGTGTTTGTCTGACATGTTGCATCACATATCTTACCGAGTAGTTTAGAAGTGAGCGGAGAATATTAACTCACCTCAAAGCCAACAAAGTAAATTACACAAAACCGTCCACCTGCACACTCACCAGGAATCCGTAATTATGTAAAATCCTTACCTTTATTTATGGCAAAATTAAACTGGCAGAAGAGATATAAATAGCAAAAGACAAACACATTTTCCAAAGCTCTAACGTTTATTATTTACACACATAGAAATTGTTTTCATTTTATAATTAAATTCACACATTCAACGCTAAATGGGTGTATATTCTGTTTTGGGAAGAAGTCATGGTCTATTTTATTATTGACTATTGTTTACATGTAGACATAATTTCTCTGCAATTTCAAAAATAGAGCAATTTATTTATATAAAATTAACTTCCTTATGCTTATGCTTAGAGACTACAGCCAACGGATTTTGGTTTAGGCTATCATGTTTCAAAAGCAACAGCAACGCTTAATCCCTTTTGAATATTTGGCCTTTTTATACTTGATATTTCCTATTAGATGGATTTTCACACGTGAAAAGCCATTCGAAATTGGATTTACCGTTGGCTTGTCAAAATATTGAAATTGAGGCCTTTTTCTAGGCACCCACATGCTATTGAAAGCAAAAAAATATCGATCACGTCTAATCCAATGGGGATTGAAACATATGCTCTGCAATATCCATAGTCCCTTAAAACGCATTCAAATGATGAGTTTATTGATTTTAACCGATTTTTTGTTGTTTTTAACCGCTTATGCCATTTTCGATGCCAAGATTATGTTACACACTCGCTCTTTGCGAAATCACTCATTTGCAGACCAGCTGTATTTGTGTGCGTGTGCTTGTGTGCTCTTGGCATTGGCAAAGAGATTTTCTTTTTGATTTGATTTGATTTTAAGCTTCTTACTCTACAAGCGGAAATGAGATTGGCTAAGCATAAAAAAAACTGGTTTTACGCAAGAATACTTGAGATTGAAAATTGAGATTTTGTTTTTTTCTTCTTCAATTTTTAGTGTGAAAAATCAATTCTTGCCAGGAATTTCCTGGTTTTCTTTTTTCGAGAAAAAGTTTGGGTTCCAAACAGCCTTCAGGAAAGAATGAACCAATAAAAAAAGGTATTTATCGTTGAAGCACAGTACTCTTCAAAGTCTTTACTCACCAACATAAGAAATAAGGCAACAAATATCAAAAGAAAAACTGAAAAGTACAAAATTAAACGAAAAACGAGTCCGAATTTTTGTGCAATATTTTCATTTGTATTGAATTTCAATTAAATAAATCAAAATCGTATGAAATAAACAAAAATAAATAATTCTTTTCTTAGCATAATTTCGAATTTCTTAAATCATAAAATATAAATTATCGTAAGTCAACTTGTTTTTTACATTAAATGAAATAATAATAAAAAAAAACCATATTAGAATGAATTTAAAGTATGTGTTGAGCATAAAACTACTCTGTAAATTAAATAGATGCAAATCAAAAGAAACCATCTTCTGATCTAGAACATTATTTTGTTTTTTCAATGTATTTATATGCTTAACAATAAGTCAATCGATTTGTGTGTGTTTTTTGTAGTTTTCAGAAAACTGTTTTCTGTGCATAAAATGTTCTAACCTCGTTTTGAAATCACTTGTGTATTACCTGCACTCGAATTTGTTTCCATATAGTTTTTTTTTCTCCCTTGGTTTTGTTTGCCATTTTTTAAAATATTCATTTTAAATGTTATTCATTTCTTGTGCAACATTTATTTTTAGCTAAACATTTTGTAATTTTCCAACAATGATAGATCCTAAAAGATTTGTTATTTTTTAATATATTATATATAAATTATTTTCTTTTTTTCGATAATTTTCTTCATTTTGTTTTTATCTGGCTTTCTCTTCCGTTTATCACAATCATTTTTAGGCATTCTATGGTATTAGCATTTAATTCCATCTGTTCCATAAATATGTAGAATATCGATTATGTTCTGTTTCTCTCTTCAATTAGATTAAAAATTTCTGTAGACGATAATATCCACTGAATGTGTATGATTTTATCTCTATTTTTTGTACGTTGATATATTTTGTTCATGTATTTTGTTTGTGTGAGTGTAATGTTGTCGAAAAATATATTTATTACATAATATGTTTAAATATGATTAAAATCTGAAAATTCCATTTAATGAGCTTGAATTGTATTTGATATTGACTGTCTGATCTCCTGTAAAGCTTAACATTTGATAAAGCGTACATTTATATTTAGAGAGAGAAAGAGAGGGAAAAACATTGAATTTACTGGCATTTAACTAGTGTATGATCCTATTTTTGTTGTTGTCTTCTTGTATGACTACATTAAAATTTCTACGTGTTCAAGGTCTGATTTTCTATTTACGAAGCTCGTATTTTCCACTTGAAACCATTGAATTGCTCACGATGTACTGAGCCCAATTAAAAATATTAAAGACTTAAAGTCTTTGGGTATTATTCTTTATCTCTCTGTCATTTTTTTTTTCTGAAGGAAAAAAAATTGAAAGATTTTGGCTTTATGCCTGCTGGCGTTCGATTGTCTGGCGATGCACGCTATCACTTACAATTTAGTTGTACGAACATCAAAAATGACGCACACGGAATATAAGTCATGCGGAGACAGACCGTTCAGAGTTCGCTTCAATTACTTTGTCTTTCATTAATCTAATTTTAAAAAAAAAATTGTCAAACTTTTTAAAAGCCAATCACTGGCAGAAGAAATTTATGAATTTAAATGTCTTGTATTTGGCATAAACAAATGGCCAAAGTCAAAAATTATGTATTTCCTTGTCACTTTGTCAATCAGCGATATCTCACACCACCACGACCAAAAATGGCAGCCACCACGGTTCATGTACTCAAACATATCGTGAGAAAGAAATGAACACAATCGCTAAACATTTTAGCATCTAATACTTGAACAGTAAAAATGTTACTAGAAAAATAACATATCGAATCATTAATAAAGTAGACAGGTTTGACCGGTTGATTTGATTTGTGTTGGCGTGGTTTTTTCTCATTCTCTCCCACAATTTGCCATTTTATTGTGTTTGACTTGAACGACATGGGAACAGTGGAAGAGAGCTGAATAGAAAAAAAAAACAATTCGCCGTCTGCTGTTTTTGTGTGTATGCTGTCGACGGATAAAAAATGTAATGGCAATGGACCAACGGAGGTTCAACAAAATATATACTCTTGCTACTTATTGACTTCTAACACTGTGATGAAGATAATTTCTATTTAATCCTCAGCGGTACTTTTTTTTCGCCAAGTCATTCACCACTGTGAACTTTGTTGTTTTGATAGATTTTTCTTCGTTATAGCCGCAAAAATGAGTCTAAATTTTGTGTCTTCTAATTCATGCGTCGAAACAGATGTTAATGAAACAATACGAAGTTTTTTTTCTTCTGTCTAAAACTCGGAAATTCATTTCAGTCATTCCTTTTTCACCATTTTATGGCCGAATGATATAAAACTAGCTTGATTTATTGCAATTTCCAATCGCTTTCATATCTTGGATGTGTCTTTTTTAGTGTGAGCTCTTAATCGTTCAATTAGTTTGTAACATATGCAAACCCATGTGGAAATTTTTTGACTGTCTAACTCAGTCGATTAATTTGGGACATTCAGTGACTATTTGACTGACTAGAAGTGATTGTCTCGAACAAAATAAGCAACTGCAGTTAACTTTAATCACAAATCACTCTTAGTCAAAACGTCCCAAATTAGTCGACTGACTGAAAGAATAACTAAACGTGATTGTCTCCTTACAAAATGCATGATTTCAATCAACTTAGTCAGTTTTAGTTGTGTATCACTACAGACAGCCACATACAACTGAGTGACTGTTAGTCATTTTATTTACACACGGGAATTCGTTTACAGGTTTCCTGAAGATAAAAAACAATGTAAAACTTTGCGGGCGAATTAATCTTATCAATGATACAACAGGGTCAGAACAATAAAAACTGAATTCGCGAAATTGAAAAGAAGACACACACAGAGAGAGAGAGCGCGAATTAGAAAAAGAAACATTAGTTGAGTAGTTTCGTGGGAAATGTGTTCTCTGTGTGATTTCTTAACGTATCAATTATTTAAACATTGACCGGTTTGGTTGGATGGTTGCTATCGAAATAGAATGGATGATCGGTGCATGGGCTTGTTGGACTGCCACAATTGGTTGGTGAGCGCTTTTTGGCCGTGTGCTTACACACACGTCGTAACAATGAGATCTTTTGCTTAATTACATTTGCACCGGTCGTTGGGCCTAAATTGCAACTATTTCCGCGTGTCTTGCTATTTACATTTGCCACTTTTCCCAAACTAGTATTTATACTATTATTGTTGTTGTTGTTGTTATTATGATTTAAGTGGATTGGAATACGATTTAGTTGATGGTTCGCATTTTTATTACCATTATTCGCACAATTTATATTATTAACAATGTCTTTAACGTATTTGGCAACAGCTGCATCGTCCATTGAATCACTTTGGTCTCGTTTACAATTACTACTATTATTCGTACAATTTGAAATGAAATTGATGACATGCGATGGGACGCATCCATTTGTTTCATGTTCATCGTCCACATTTGTATGTGGCATATCGATGCGACACTCTGCATCCATTGGAGCGACGCCGTTTGTGCTATCATTTTCATTTTCACCATCAATGCACACAGTGCTCTCTTTCGGTTTGTTGTACTTTTGATTCGACGTTTCGGTGGTTTCATTTGGTTCGATCAATGGGACTGGTGTGTACTTGGGTTGATCAATGGAACCACTGCTAAAGCTAGCCGATTTCGTTGAATTTCGATTGATTCGAACGACTTTGGTTTTACGTTTACGCTCACGACAACTATTCGCACGCAAATTACCGTGCATGATCATTCGTTGTTTTTGTAATCGTTCATTTGTTTTTGCATCGACGCCAAATAGACGGCACACACCACGGCGCACACGTCGATTTCGATAAGCAAATATAAATGGTGAGCTAATGTTTGCAATAAGCAAAAATAATACGCCAAAACACGATGAATTGGCAAAGAATGTGGCACGACCCTGAAGTAACACCAACAAACCGTACGGAAAGTATGAAAATAGGAACATAATTACAACTAAAATACTGATGCGGGCTGCTCGCGACTCTTCACGATACTTGAATATCGACGATGCATTTGACAAACGATGCCGTATTGATGTCATGTAGCTAAGTGCTTTTGGCGGCGTACAAATCGATGGTCGACGTGTTGGTGTGGCGGTGCATGCATGCTTATTAATACTGCCACTGCTATGGATCTTTTTATCACTTGAATGCTTGGCATTGCGATGACTGGCCGCCAACAGTGACAACTCCGTTTGTATGGATTTCTGTAGATCCGGTGTTGAATGCACCTGCCGCAGTTCATTGGCCACATCCGCTGTCAATGGATCGTAAACGAGGCGATGTTCGAATAGTAAGTGTCGACGTTTATCAACGCCCGAAGACGATTCATCCGATGACGCATCTATGGGTCCATTCAGTTCGGTCATTTGATTTTTACTCTCATCAATATGCGTGCGATAGTTTTGAATTTCGTTAAATTTTGGAATTTCCAAGTATCGACGATGAATCGGTGAAGGTTGACTATTGACTTTGTGCACCGATGAATGTAGTCGCGTTGGTGTGATGGCGGTTCTGCAATGTGGGTCTTTGATGCTGACATGATGAACGGGACTCGTTGTTGCGGCCATCGAATTACGACGCAGCGTAATTTGAATTACATTCGATCGGCTACTAGCTAAACTATCAGTCGCATTGTCCGAATCTTCTTCGCCAATCACACTGCACGAATGATCAAGGTGCGTGGGTGGTGGCAAATGTGCGGAGGCGGTAGCCAAATTCAATGCGCTTTGCAAAAGTGGCGACGAACCATTCTGTCTCATTCGTAATCCATTTTGACGTGCCTCCGAATATATCTTCCAGTACATTGCACACACCAGACAAATCGGCAGCAAAATGATTACCACAAAAAATGTACACGAATAAATTAGATTGTAGATGTCATCAAAGCCGAGCGAATCACCAACCATGCTCGTCGACGACAATGATGACGATGATGATGATGATGTTGGTGAGGGCACATCCGATTCAGAGCTACTGGATGTGATTTTCTGTAGCGTCGATGTGATTTCCGTTGTTATCATACGACAATCTCGCCGCAATGCCGATGCAATGCAGAACAATATGCTCACAAACCATGTAGCCACGATTAATACCCAAGATTTTAGGCCTGATATACGTGAATGATATCGCAATGGATCGGTCACGGCACACCATGTATCGCCCACAACTAGCATCACCGAAAGGCCACCTGCAACATTGAGAAAAAAATGAAAAAAACAGAAGACAAAAATTAATCGTATGATTCAATCGAAATGATCACATCATTTAAAACTAGTTTGGGCCTACAGTATTTTAATGTATGATATAAGAATTGGATATGGATAAGATCCAAAAAAAAAGAACATTATCGAACCAAAAAGACCGTTGCCTGATCAAATTCTTAGCTGATGTGATCAAACGGCAAACGATCTAAATTAATTTAATTCACTTGTCATTTATGACCGATTCAAGATTTCAGTTTTTCGATAAAGAGAGCGTGATATCTTGTCGTATGCAAATCAATGATGACCCTGGGAAAAAACCCGCCAATTTGTTTCACTTTGATGTGAAGAATGTGAGAAAAAAAGCAGCAACAACAACAACAACAACATTTCACAAAGACCCGCTTCGTTTCGTAGACATCGGAATCGAAATAGTTTCAATGTCTCTATGGAAAATCGCGTTAAAAATTGCAACTTATCGCAATTAATGAGAGTTTGTTTGACTGCATCCGATATGACCTAATTCGAAACGATGGGGAATTTTATGTTTTCAATTGCTATTTCTTTCTCTCAATGGCAAGTGTAACACACCGGTGTGTAGCTGCAGCAGCAGTGCAACGCAGATGATTGGCGTGTACATTGATTTACGCCAAGTAATAGTGCCAAAGTCAACAGTAAACAATGACCGATTAACAATATTATTATTATTAATTAGCGCACACTGATTGCACTTCAGTTAATTGAAAGCGTCATATTTGGCAGTACGCGTGTGCGAGCTGCGCGCTGCGCGCTCGTGTAAGGAACTTGATTTGAACACGACGCGCTTAAATTCTAAACACTAGACGAATTTATTAGTGTTTTGATGAATTTATTGCTGTTTACAGTATATACGGTGTATGTTTAGTATCTCTCTTTGTAGTGAAATAAAAATTGCATTCAATTCAATTTCGCAAAACGCAAACGCCATTTGTATACGAAAAAGAGCACACACATACACACTCAAAGCAAATCAAGAGTGAAATATTGCGGCAGTAGACAAACAGCTGAAAGAAAGGAATTTGAAATAACAGTGAGTACAAGCAAGCTGTTTAATATTTTATACACCTAAAGAGGTCACCGATACCACAGTGGCACGCATTTTGCTTCAACAAAACAAAAATTCGAAAACACCATTTCGTGATTTTCGTATTTCTCACACTCCTCGTGCTTAATAACCAACCAAATTCGCAAAACCATTTGCTAGATGAAATCAAATTAGTTGTGTCTCGTTACGATTCACGAACCTGACGGAATCGTGCAATTGTAAATAATCACACGCGCCGACACACAGACACACATCCACAAACAATGTGCTCGTACACGCGTCCGTTTGTCTTGATACTGCTTAGATAAATTCCGCGAACAAATAAAAAACGCAATTCATGTAACGAACGCTGAAAAAAAACGCGGCGATCATTTCATTCATTGATGCCGTTTTTAAAAAATAAAGCCGTTTTTATTACCTGTTCGGTTGTTCAGCATGGGTGGCGATGATGTTTGCGTTTGGAAAATGGGTTTACGACAGTACCATCGTTCACAATTTTCGAATTAACGAATGGAACGACAGGCGGAATTTGATGAGATTCATCAAAATGATGAAGTATAAAAATGAAATGTGATTAAGAGCATATGGATGCTTGAAGGGGAAAAAAGTTCACATGTGAACATTGTACTAAGCGGACATGATTTGCTTCAGCTACATGCCAACCAAAATAAATCAAGCATAATCACATCAAAATTGTCGAAAAATGTGCCATAAACATTTAAATCGCAAACATTCAAAAGGCCACTCGTTTGACCACTCCTTGTCAGTTTGAAGTCATTCTTTTGTTTCCCTTTCAGATTATAGAGTTTCTTTTGTATTTTTTTATCGTTGAATTTTTTTCTTCATTCTTTGAAAATCTTGTTCTAGCCTCAAAACCCGATTCACTTCAACAAACTACGACGCATATGGTATAGCGTAATTGATGTTTTAAATTTTCCACCGTTTGCAATTTAAACTAGTTGAAAAATCGCTTCGTTTCACGAATTATTTAACGATCGATTAATTCAGACATTGATAGATTCAGTCACTGTGTAAAACTCTGGCAATATTTCTTTGGCACGGCGCGTGCATCACGTTACAGTTTACAAACAATGATTGTTGTAAACATGGCATAGGCGCGTGTACGAATCAATTTGTTAGAAAATGCTTTTATCTTTCCTCTTGTTTCATTGTTGTGGGCCTCAAAGTAAACGATGTTTAAAACATTTTTTCGGTCCGGAATCTATGCAGTGGTTCTATATAGCGGTATTGGCGGTAGTATATGTCTTGTTCCATCTGATAACTCATTTAATGTATGGTAATCTGATCGATTGAATTTTAAAAAAGTTCAAGACAAAAAAACGTGAGGCTATTGAGAAAGATGAAGTAAATGCGTAGAATCAATCAATAAAATGTGTCATTTTGTCCGATTTATTTCGATGTTGCAAATCGAATCTCATCAACTTCTATCATCATAATCGACTTTTGGTGTGATTAATGGACTTTTGGTGAATCACGACGATATCTTTAGTATTCATTATACATTCGAGCCATGATTTGTGTTTGTACTCAAAATAAAATATATCGCACTTAACACCAACGAGTTACGAAAATAAACGCTCAACATTTTAACACCGTTTATTTCTCTCTCTCTCTCTCTCTCTCTCTCTCTCTCTCTCTCTCTCTCTCTTTCGGTTGGTGTACTTGTTAATTATGGATTCATTTCGAGCACCATGTGCTTGCAAATGAAGTGTCCGAAAAAAACAAAAATCTGTCGAATTGAAACCATTGAAATGTTCGTAGTTAAACACACACACTCACACACCAAAATCAATGGTTTTCACGGTTGAATGATTAAATTTATGTGTGTGGAGAGCTCTCATCATTGTCGACTCTCGATGCATTTTTTCCAGCGTATTTTTTATTTGGCGCGTGCTTTCACTTATGTTTGCGCAAGAGCAACAGAAAAAACCAACTCAGGGCAAGAAAAATCGGTCGACTGAAGCGAAAACTAACCGAAACATACCAATGCCAAAACTTAAAATAACGGAATCACAATGGGAAGTGTACAATAGCAAGCGTCGAAAAAAAATTCGCGTTATTGCCATATTATGACAATGGGCAAAAGCATTCACCATGGTTCGTGAGTTGAATCGGATAGATGATGCTTAGACAACGCTTAATATATTTGGCTATGGCATCAGTGAAATGACAGCAATTTTTGTTTGTTTGAAGATTTGCTGGAACAAAACGCTTCCCCCGACTCGGAATAGAAAGCCATGATTTACCATACAAATCGAATGAAATCACGGCATTGAACAATCAACAACAGCAACGAGCAACGAGCAACGAGACAACAACAGCAGAAAAAAAAACCCGTCCTCGAGCTTATCATATATTATGAGTCCGGAGTTCGGTTTGACGGAATGGATAAAAAGAATAACTCATTCCTTACCAACAAAAAATGTGTTTTCGTTTAAAATGGATTATAATCGGTAATGAAGTTAAAAAGTTCAGGAAATCATGCACAGCCGAAATATGTATATATCTACCAGTCCAATGAAAACGGAAGTGTTTCCTGATGATACATGACATTTCAGCCGATTTCAAAGAAGAAGAAAAAACTACGCATGCTGTAAAATTGAATAATTTTAACGGTTGACCGAGCCACAAGCCCTTTTTCATGTTTTTGATTATGTTGAGGCTTGGTGACAAAACTCCTTCATTGGCCACTTGATGCATACACACGCCATTCAATCGACTAAGGTGGTCGCACTTGACAACAGCTGATATGTGTGTATCAACTATCATCGTCGCCAAATGAAATTCATTGTATAGCTACACAGTTCGAGGAAGTACTTTGTCTTTGAAAGTTTGCTGTGCGACAACAGCCATATAACTGATTTGTATGTGTGTACACTGTGCTCGCTCTTTTGATCGCTTGTTGAGAAAAAAACAAACCAACAACAGCATGAAAATTTCATGCTATTCAAGACTCTATTAAACATTGGTGACTTGTTGCGCATATATTTTAGTAAATGAAATTAATTTGATATGTCGCGCCAACATGAATTGCACGAAATGGCGAGCAAACAAGTAGAGCGGACTGCATAAATGCAATAAGGAAGCGTGCACATCTCTCGTTCACTTTGTTCCACGGAAAATGTATTCACTGATGTGCTCTGCAATCAAGAGAGCAACCTCTTTGTGTCTACAGGAAACTCGTTCTTAATCGATCGATACTAGCTCGACGCGAACTAACGTTTAGGCACGTACAGTCGTACACACACACACACACACACACACACACACACACACACACACACATACACAGTTTTATGATTGTTTGCTTTGTGTAAAACTTCATTACACTTTAGACCGTTTTTACTGTTGTGATGTGTTTCAACTTTCTCGCGCTGTACTATTCTCGTGATTTGTGTTTATTTTGAAATCATGCATGCAATGTTTGCAGCCACTATCGTTACTCTTCACTGAACTTTATTTAGCGCGATGGCGTCTCTTTATAGAGAATGAAAGAAAAAAATTTCCACTTGAGATTTTACGTTTTTTTTTTCTTCTTCAACATTCTATCGCTCGTTCGGTTTGGAATCGGAACCGTAGAAATCCTATGTTTACATTATCATTATGTATTTGAATCACAAATGCATCGAGTGTTTTGATGTGGCACAGAAAACAGGATGAGATTCATCGCGACACACATTGTAAATCAAAAGAACGATGTACATTGAAATACATAAGGCAATTCAGAGAGGAGAAGAAGAAAGCATAAGAAGAAACAGTGTTGCGTTGTTGAGTGATAGAATGACAAGTAGTACATAGTACACGAGTGTGTGGTGTTTTTTTTCTTCTTCTTCAGAATTTGATAAGAGTCGACAACAACCGCAATCACAGGGTGCGATATGCACAATAAATGGACGAGAGAGCATTTCGATGAATCGCATATGAACACACGCTGAAATAGCCTGTGCGAACATTGATCAGTAACAATCTAATCATGAAAAATGCACAAGAATTATAATGTGTCGAAAAATGAAGGAAAATAGCGAGAATAAAATCGACGATAAGAATCCCATTAGTGACTGTTAGCTCGTTCAAATTGATTAGAATATATATAAAATGGTCGTAAAATTCACATTTGATTTTAAATTATAAAAATGTTGTCATTTTTTTCTTGCACACACTCGATTTTTTCCCTCGCGACAGTGCTACGTGTGAATTGTTTATCACAATGAATGTGAATTGATTTGAAGTGTGCGCTGTTTACATTTGTCATTTCCACTAGAAATAAGTGCTGTTTCTGTTTGCAACTGACGCATCAACCACCACCGCCATCGCCGCTGCCGCACAGAAAATAATGCATAAGCAATCGGTATATTGCTAATCATTATCGCATCGACATTAAAATGCGATAAAATTTTTGTTTATTTTTCAATTTGATTTGAATGCAATGAAAAAAGCAGTACTCTAATTTTCATAAATAAATGATGTATTGAGATAGCCCTTGGGAGTTATTTTTGAAAAAAAAAGAGCGCAGAAAAAGTGTATATTAATAATGGAAAACAAGATAAGGATGACACTTACCTAAGGCGGCAACCAGATCGAAGCCCCAGAATCGTGTACAGTCAGAATACTGAATGTTCTTCGTTGGTGACCATGTTTCGTTGGTGGCGGCGGTTTTATTGTGCGTCGTGCGATTCGGTTGAATCGTATCCTCTCGAATATCAGCAAAAATTTCTTCATCGTAATTATCGTCAAATATTCGCTCAGTGGCAAATATTTTGACAAAGGTCGATGGTTTAACGGTTGCTATCAATTCAATGTGATTTTGTAGTGTGCTCAATGGCGTTGCAGGTCTGGTGAATGCCTCCGCATTATCATGAACTTGATGGGTTTCACTGTAAACCGTTCGTATAAGTCCACCATGCAGCCAGAGTGCAGGCGTTAATGCCAAACAACCAACAATATTTACGATCAGCAAATTGATTACAAAACGATTGGCCGTTGTTCGTAGACCGGGTGTTATCCAAAATGAACCGAGCGCTAATACATTTACAGCCGTTGATAGTAATTGAAGAGCGCCAATAATATAATCGATTGCCATTTTTTGCACATCATTTAATTTTTTGTTTTGTTTTGGCTCTTGTTGGTACTTTTTTTACTTGAAATGTTTTTTTTTTCGTTTTTTCCTTGGGGTCAAACAGTTCAATTTCTCTTTTACGTTTTTTTTTCTATCTTTTTTCTGCTTTGAGAATTTCACGAATCACTTATAATTTGATTTGGTCAATTAAACAATGAGTGTTCATGTCGCAACATTGCCACTTGACTTTAGCTGCTAGGTCACTCTCTCTCTTTCTCGGTGTGTAATTTGCCCGGACGATGATTTCACTGCAAATGAGAAGAAACAACGAATGAAACATACAAAAAATTAATAATGATTCAACATGAGTCAGTTGCAATTGGATAATGTAATATTTGAACGGCTGGATTCCACTGAATGTTAAATATTTGTTACCACTTGAAGGTAGTTTTGTCTTACGTTCAAATCACGTTCGGCACATGCGAAACAGTCACACGCATATTAACATTCATTCAGACAGTCAGAGTACAAGAAGAGTAGAGTATTGTAAATCTTTGTGCGTAATGATCTCGTTTCGACCTCGACAAATTTGAAACAAACAAGAAATTGAAAGAAACATTCAAACCGTCGGTTTTTCAACGGTTTTGTCGTCTTTTCATCCGCCACAAACGCACACACACACACACACGATTTATTCAATCCAAACCATGTATACTACAAAGGAATATCAAATGGGGCCGCCGTTCATGCTGCTGCCATATTATTTGGTGTATATAATTTGTGACCCTGAACGCAGGTATCAAACGACAGCCAACCGAACAGAAAAAAATCAATCGGTTCAAATCAATTCAATCGCCTGGTTTTCGTCTAGTTTGCCATAACCAATAATTTGTTGCTCACAGACACGCGGTAAATCGATTCTTTGTTGCCATTCGCTTAATTCTATTGTGAAATGTGTTTCTGTTTCTGTGTGGGGATTGAGCAAGAAATAAAGGCTCCAGAATAGACCGAAAAAGAAACACTGGCAATTCACAAAATTTGTACAGTTTCACTTGTCTCGAAATAATCTCATTTCCTTCGAAGACAGAGGCTTTAATATTGAAATAGGACTCTTTTTTCTCTCTCTCTCATTCAGAATGGATCACAAGATATTTTTAATCTTTCACTCGAATAATTCGAATGTCGCAACAATTTTCAATCGAATGCAACACCAAATAGAAGAGAAAGACGAAGAACTATTTATTTTTGCTCAGCGATTTTCTCTCTTGAGCTGCTGCTGCTGCTTCCAACCAAATGAAACCACAACTTTTTTGTGTTGATGAATGCTTTTTCTTCTATCAATCGTTGGAATTCTTCGTTTTCTTTTCTCTTCGTTCACACACCATTTTGGATAGCATCCATTTTCGACTGCATACATTCGACGTGTTTCAATTGATGTTTAACAATGCAAACAAAATCAAATGAAAACATACTTTACATTCATGATATTCCCACACTTTTACGAATGGTTGAGCAATTTTATTAGCGATATTATTGTTTGCATGTAATTGTGCATGCGTTGCGAATGGTTGTGGCTGATTGCAATGCATTGTAGGTCTTGAGCTGTACACAAAGGTAACATAAGAAAAACAAACGGAGGAGCAAACTAATGATTTGATCACACACCGTTTTGTATTACATTGTGTATTACTTAATGAGAAAGATACAAAAAAAACAACAGCAATAATAATGGAAGAAACGAACCCACGAACGAATGAACGAATATAAAAAGAATGCCTTCGAATAACACCGTAACAAATTGTTCGCAAACATCAAAATACCCGTGACGGATTCAAATGCGCATTCTCTCAAATGTCTTTGACATCAAACGACCATCGGTTCGGAGACGTTGAAAATTCTAAGCCGAGAGCGAATAATTCAGTTCACAGCATTTGCACCGTGATGCGCTGCGTCAAAGATCACACGACCAACTGATCGATGGTGTGCTAGCTGCGACTAATATGAGACCCGGATGAAGAACATTTATCAGGCGTTTTATTGAAACCAGTTTTTCAGTTTGTATGTTTAGTGTCATTTGATCGAACATTCAATATGCCACAATTAAAGCAGTGCACTTAATATAGCAGGCCATTATCGTTAATCGATTGGCTTGTGTAAAGTTCTCTCTCTCTCTCTCTCTGCAGTTTAGATCGTCTAATAGTGTTATTATTTGAAACTGAAATGGTTTCACAGCCAATTCCAATCAGTATATGTTAATGTCAACAAGTCTCGCCACCAAAAAGTCTAATTCCCACGTTCCCTGTCTGTCTGTTTGTGTGTATTCTTGATTAATGCGATATTTTTTCGATATGCTCACAACTGTCAATGGAAAGGTGTCTTGAAATGTATAGTTTTCCTAACATATTTCGATTTTTTTCAGAAAAAGTGTTTTTCAGCAAAATTCGATTTTGAAATTCTGGATTTTTAAATTCGGATTTTGTTTAGTTTCTCACGAAGAATTTTGTGGTGGTTTCAGTTTGAAGCTTCGATTGAGCATTTTGAAAAATTAACCCAAAAATGCTAGTTAATAAGATACCGATCTTATTAACATATTAATAACATATTTTCGTTATTAACCTGGAAAATTTTTCAAAACGACTCATCATAAATGAAAACTGAAACCACCATAAAATTCTTCATGAAAAACTAAACAAAATTCAATTCCAAAACCTCAAAATTTCAAAATCGAATTTTGTTAAAAACACTTTTTCTGAAAAAAATCAAAATATGTTAGGAAAACTATATTGAAATGTGTTTTTTTCGAAATCCTATGTTTCACACTTTCGCAAATATTGTCGAATTGATTGAGCGAACATTCAAAACACTGATTAATTACACTGCGAAAATATTTTTTTTCATTTCGTTTGTTTGCTGAACAAAGCGTGTGCTGAAACCCAAACAAAAATGAAACGGCTTTTGCGTTCGTGTCTTTTTTTTCATTTCTTAGCCATATTTCAGAAGATAAAATTGTTTGATATATTCTTTACAGTAGATTCGTGTGCACTTTCTTTTTGTTCTGTGATTTAGTTCAGAATTGTTTTTTTCCCATGGTACTTATATCGATCAAAATGAAGCTGAAAAGAAGAAGACAGAAAAAACGACCCGAAAGAGTTTATCTGGTGTGTTGGAATGCGACGTTATGGTAGGTCATTGGTCGCAACACTTTTGGCTTTGAGCCGAACCAACAGCACCGTGATGATATCGTGAGAACCAAGAATTACAACCACGGAAGAATCGGTATTCGATCTTTTTTTTTGTATTATCATGTCTTCTCTCTTAAAATGGGTAGAGGAAAAAATCTCTTCTTTCAATTTCGTGCGATTGTCGTTTCGTTCGAACCGACCGATCTTAACATGCCACACGATGCACAAGTAAAACACACAATATTCCCCAGTGTTTTTTTTTTGTTAAACAACAATTCATATGATCACACAGACACACATATTGTCTGTGTTGTATACAACATTTTTTTGCTGTTCCTCTCCTTCTCTCATTCTTCCAATCCGTTTTCTCACTGGTTCCCTTCTCTCACTCTTTCAACGTCTTTGTTCGGTGTTATGGGTTTCATGAAAAAAAAGCAGAAAAATATGTATGCACTAAATGAGTTTATGTTGTCGACCTTTTTGTATAGAGTTATGTGTAATTTTGACTTGATGGTCGATGTTTTCATATAGAACAGCAAACATAACATCGCTTTTCTCATGTGCTTGCACTTTGATTCCGTAAATAATAGGCGAGCAACCGTTTGATGCACTGATTTTTTTTTTATTCGTTCGAACATTTCTTCGTTAGTTGAAGAATTTGAACCGCAGAAAAATTCTCCATTTTTCTACCGAATCATGATTCGTTGTGTTTTCGGAGAATTTCTTTGTTTCGATAATATTATTTTTACTCATTTACTGATAGCATGATTTATTTTGTTCCATGACTATTTCAACACAAGACGAAATCTCGACAGAAAAGAAGGGAACATACGTAAATGAATAAAAAATGAAAATAAAAATAAAAATGGGACTTTCAATCGTTTAGAAAACCTACATTCAATTCAATGCTGACGATCACACATTCCAAAAGCAGTCGAGTTTTGTTCATTTCATTTTTTGCCATGTCTTGTCTCTCACTTGCTCGTTTCCAACACAAAACTCACAATGTTCACACACGCACTCAATTCTCTTGGCACAAGTATATTCCATTTCCAAATGAGACTATTTTCTTCTTTTTTTTATGTTTAATTTCAAGATTTCGTTTCTTTTTTTTCTTGTCGCTCTTTGCGTGTCCAAGTTACTCTCTTTATTTCTGTGTAAATATTATTCACCTTTATTTCCTTCTTTAATTTTGATTTTTGTGTTTAATTTCTGTTTCTTTCATTCAGGTTTTATTATAAATTTCCGTTGAATGTTTCGGTTTCGGTTACAAATCGAACACAAGTTTCAAACACAATGCTATAACTATGCGTGTGCAGTAACAGCGAACGACAGTACAACCATTCGCTTCCAATTTCACCACGAAACTGAAACTTCAATTTCAAATGGATTTGAACGCTGTGCTGCGTCTATGAACGGAATGTTTTCGTTCGGTTTCGGTACCGATGTGAGGCATGTATGTGACGCGCGGGCGTGCATACACCAAAACGCCAGTCACTTTTATCTGTGAGCATTTTCGAACGTTCGAACGTTCACAGCATGTGTGTATGTGGTGTGTGCTCTCGATGGTGCAGCAGCGTTCACCAGTTGATCGCTGATTACTTGAACGCAAGCAAAACAGATGATTTCGGTGCGGTGATACGTTTCTGTACACAACCATTATGTTTCTATGCATGTCGACTATTCATGTCATTTGCCTGCCGCTTTTTTCTCTCATTCTTTATATATAGATTTTGTGTGTGTTTATATTTCTTTTTTTTTTTTAATTTTATTTCTTCATCTCGAAAAAACCGCTCTCTGAACTGAATGCCTTCCGATCACTTGCAAACACAGTGACAAAGAAGAAAAAATGAACGAAATGTTCTCCGTTCGTTCGCATTTCTGGCCCATTCATACACACATACAGTGTCTTTATCATCACCAAACTAATTCGGCCAGCAATTTTTTTTTGCTGTGATTTTACGAAAAACCGTTTTTTTCGTTTCGCAATGCAACACAATACACAGAATGCTTTTGATGTGCAAACCTCTTTCTGACCAGAGATACACACCAGTGTGTGTATGTTTTCGGTTGCTACTTCTCTCTTGCACACTTATCGTCCGGGCTACAATTTGATGTGGTCATTACTGTCAAATATTTTACAACCATCTTAACGATCTGATATTCTACCGAAGAAAAACAAATTGAGATTTTTCTTTATGATTCGGAAAATTTCACAGATCGCATTTGGTCCGTCGCATTAAAATGTCGACTGGAAATATAAAAACGACGTGATTATGAATTTCGTATGTTGGTGGTGGGCAGTTTGTGGGTTTTTTATCCGCTCTATACGCGTATACTATATTTAGATAAGTTCTTGGTCGATGCGAAACTTAAAGCACTGACGAAATGTTACGAAGAACACATATCCAATCATCTGTGTAAAATAATCGTATTATTAGTAAAACGTCATGACGTCATAGATGTGTCGAAAACATCGCCAGTGCGAATAACAATTGTGGTTTTTGTATATCTCTTTGATGTACTAATTGATAATCAGTTGTGGCTTGGAAACAATGATCTAAAAATTATTTAGCAAATACTGGCTCTAATAACCATTTGCTCATCACTTGTTTTATCTCGGTTGTTTTTCAACGAATTTAACACACTCCAAAATACGCATTGTAGCATATGTACGCCTTTTGTTGCTTATGGTTTTTCCGGCTGCCACTCTTCCGTTTCATTTCTATAATATTTTCATAAATAGCACCACATTCTGTGAAGCATATCGCGAATTTTGGCAACAAACGCAATGCATATATAAGCCTGTAACCATTGAGATGAAAGAAGACTGGCAGAGAAGAATCGTATGATGAAATCGGATTATGAAATCAATCTTCATTCTTTCGGAGCGCATTGGAATCCACACAACAACACACACATTTTCAAGTGGTTACACCAAATTGACACTGATGCGTTAACCGCTGTTTATCGAAATTTGAATTGAATATCAAATTCAAGTCGAAAAGGAAGAGTAAGCGGTTGGTTGTTTGCTCGACATTTGTAACACGACCCACTTCTAGACAAGCCAATGCAATAAAAGGATAAACAATCCATTTATTTCCAACGTAAGAAGATTACATAATAGAATTGGCTTGAGGAATTGAATCCACTTTGTGTCCCAGTTATGTCGGAGCGCTATTTTGCGCCAACGCAAAATCAAACGAATCATCATAACTGCTCGCACCTGCAATTATTACTTATGTAAGAACACAACACGGCAAAAACAATGCGATCCTACAATGCGTGGATTAAAATTGCGATTCGAAATCGTTAAAACATCATTTGAGATTACAGTGATATAATGCGATGGAAGCAAGCATATTCGATGACCTAATTTTCACCGTTAGAATTACTACCAAGTATCAAGAAGTTAAACGTGCACGCGCACCCAGCAGATATGTTCATTTATTCGAAACGATTAATTGAGAGTGCGGTTGGAATGACTGTAGAAAGAATGATGTTATAACATGATATTCAGTTGTTTTTTTTTGTGTCTGTTGCTGCCTTTTATTTTTGAAGAAATAAACAGGAATTCGGCCTTGAATGGCATCAGACCATTTGAATTTAACTGCCTGTGATAAGATCTGACAAAGAGTGCAGAAAAAACGAAGAAAAAAAGTGGCAAATCAGCCGTTATTTTAACATTTTTTTGTTGTTTCATCTATCTTCTTCACATTAATTAAAAGCCATTTGATTTATTCGAGTTAAGTAAATTGATATTCGTGGCGCGAAACCAGTATCTGAGTGCGCCTGAATGCGCAACGTTATTTTCGATTTACGACAATAGGAAGTGAGGAAGCGGAATTTAAATGCGTCTTCATATCGCGTTACGTTTTTGTCATTGCTTCGATTTCTCAAGTGAGCACGTGCCATTTCACCGCATATGCATCTAATTACGTTGGCCCGTTGGATGTTTGGACAAGAACAATATTTACATACATGTTGCGTTTGAGTTGGGAAACTTGGAGCATTGTGTCAACAGTAAGGAATGTTTGATGCATTGTGTTTGTATGTTGCATGTTTGGATAGTAAACATGGCCAAGACGAACAATACACACTCAAAAGATGACAACTCACAGCAGTGCTTCGACCAAAAGGTTACTTGTATTCCGGGACTCTTGAGCGTATACAGCCATAATCGAATTAAACTTTTTTTTACACGTTTTAAACGACATACAGTGCTGGAATTCTACGACATTTTTGCCGAATCCGAATCAGAATCGGAATTCTGTCACAAAAAACAATGAAATCCATTCTTCTTGAATTTACTTTCCAAATTGGACTGAAATGGATCCCATCCACTTTTTTCATATTTGCCGAATATATTCTCGAAACACATTATTTTAGTCGGAATTATTCTGTCGACACAATATGTTACCGAATATATTCGGAAAATATGAAAAAAGTGGATGGAATCCATTTCAGTCCAATTTGGAAAGTAAATTCAAGAAGAATGGATTTCATTGTTTTTTGTGACAGAATTCCGATTCTGATTCGGATTCGTCAAAAATGTCGTAGAATTCCAGCACAGGTATGGAATGTTATGGGCTAAAAAAAACCCGCAAAAAACATTAACGGATCCAAAATCGCACAAAAAACCAGTCCGTTAAGTCAATAGCATGCCATCGAACAGCTGTAGTGTCGCTTGTTTATGCACTTCGAACGAAATGTTTTCTCGCAGAGAATTTAAAACACGTAAATACATCCAGTTTCAGATATATTCCGATTGCATGCGACAACGGCTCGCGCCATTGCTTATCATGATGATACTTTGTTCTTGTCACTCGTCTTTGCAATTCATTCGTCATCAGCCGAACGCATGTGATACGACGACATAAATGTCAACATCATCGTTTTGTTGTAGGTTTTAATTAAAGATTTTTCTTTGTGTGAGTCTTCTTTTATTATTTATCTTGAATACTCACGCTCTTTTGCTCCGTTCATAACTTTGTAACAATGATGTGGTGTATTTTGGATGGTTCGCATGTGATGCCACACATTTCATCGCATCATTTTATGGAATGATATTCGAAAGTAAATGATTCTATTTTTAAAACTGGAGTGGCTTTTGTTTAATCTTACACGCGCACATACACCACTTTCAACGGCTTGTTATTACATTTTTCTTTGTAATTTGTCGTATTGTGCAAATATTTGTAAATATTTTAAGCTAACCGAGGGAGAGAGAGAGAGAGACTCCATTCGAGTTTTGGCTCCAAAATAGATATATGTGTCAGTCTGTCATATGTGCAAAAAAAGCGATGTGTGTGCGTGGTGTCATAGATTTCAGGTGAGTCAATTTGATTTATTCCGCTCATTACATGATTTATGTGGATGGCGATGCAGTGACGCGTCGAAATTTATGACAACATCACACAACCGCATTCAGCTCATTTCGAATTCAGTCCGTAAATTAGTTTCATCAAATTAATCGACCTTTCGGTTTCAATTGGAATTTTTCGAATTGAATTTTGATTATAATCTCGTTTTTTTCGTTTGCTCTCTGCCCCATAAATTGTTCACTTTGCACGTTCGACAAGTGTTTTGCCATGCCTTTTAAAATATTGAAAGAAAAAAATGGAAATTGTCGATTTAAATTACGCTTTAAACGAGATACACGGAGATTGAGAGAGATTTCAGGCGCGTGAATAGTTCGCGTTTTCTCGTCGGTGTGTTTTCAACCACAATTCAAATTGCTATTTACTTTACTGAACACAAAAAAAACCACATAGTTGCCACTGTGCATGCATCGATTGGCTGCTGTCACGGGATGAAAAACAATAGATAGTTTGTGATGCAAATTGTATTCTGCGGTTGCGAGTGCAATTGAAGACTATAATTACATATTCATTAGGTCATTTTTGGTTTTCCTGCTGCTGACACAACGACAACACGAAGCGAGAGAAAGATAGAGCGGAAAGCGACCCGAGCGCCTTGACAAACAATTACTTTTATGAAATTCAAACTCTGTTGACGGAACTATTTTTGATTTAATTACCCACAAAATTGATTGTGCTTGAAATACTGACAACCACAAACGAAAACCAAAACGCACGAAACGACGATTGAAACCGAAGAGCAAACAAGGAACAGCGCAATATAAACGTATTATCTGTATCGAACGACAGTAAGTTGGATGAATGAATTATTTCATGGCAAATGATTTAATCGGATCATAATTACTCGTTCGCAACAAATAATGCATACATTGTTGTGAAGCAAAAGACGAATCCTTTTAAATTTAGAATTTAGAAACATTTGGTTAGAAACAACGATACATATGATTTTTCTTCGCTTCAATTAAACATGGTATTTCGGTGAAATGGTG